CCCCTGAATCCTACATGCCCCCCCCCGCCCCAGGAGGTCTGTCGCTGGCTGTGGAGGGTCCCTCCAAGGCGGAGATCAGCTGCACCGACAACCAGGACGGGACGTGCAGCGTCTCCTACCTGCCGGTGCTGCCCGGGGACTACAGCATCGTGGTGAAGTACAACGACAAGCACATCCCGGGGAGCCCCTTCACCGCCCGCATCACCGGTACGGGCTGGGGGGGCACCCCGAGGTGCTGTGGGTGGTCCTGGGGCTCCCTGCAGCAGATCTGAAGTCCCCAGGGGTCTTGGGGCCGTCCTGAGGGTGGGTCCCGGGCATTTTCGGGGTGCCTTCGCCGCTGATCCCCGTCCCCGCAGGTGACGACAGCCTGCGCCTGTCCCACCTGAAGGTGGGCGCCTCGGCCGACATCCCCCTGGATATCGGGGAGACGGACCTGAGCCAGCTGACGGCCACCGTCACAGCCCCCTCGGGCCGCAAGGAGCCCTGCCAGCTCAAGCGCCTCCGCAACGGCCACATCGGTGAGGGGGGGACACGCACGCTCGGGACGGGATGGGGGTCCCTGGGGACGCCGGCACCTCGCCCTCATGGTGTGAGGAGCCCGGCCGGCTCCAACGCCTCCGCAACCGAGGGAGGGGATGGAGGGGGGGACACGGAGGGAGGACGGGGAGGGCCTTGGGGACGCAGGGACACGGTCGCCGTGACCTCGCTGTTGGGGCGTAAAGAGCCCAGCCGGCTCAAACGGCTGTGCAGTGTCTCCTGACGTCCCCCGTGTCCCCGCACCCTGCTGAGAGCGTCCCCACACTGCGTCCCCTTGTCCTGACACCCCTGCAGGGACGTCCCGCATATCCCTGTGCCCCCCCCAAATCCCCCCGCCCCATCCCTTCTGCGTCCCCGTACCGTGAAACCTGGCTCCCCCGCTGACGGCGTCCCCTCGTCCTGAGGCCGGTGTCCCCGTCCCCGCAGGTATCTCCTTCGTGCCGCAGGAGGTGGGGGAGCACCTGGTGCACATCTCGCGGGGGGGGCAGCCCCTGGCCCGCAGCCCCATCTCCGTCACCATCAGCCAGGCCGAGCTGGGGGACGCCAGCCGGGTGCGCGTGGCGGGGCCCGGCCTGCGCGAGGGACGCACCTTCGAGCCGGCGCATTTCACCATCGACACCCGCGACGCTGGTACGTCTCCGTTCCCCGGGAATTGGGGGGGGGGGGGGTGGCCCAGCCCCGGGGGC